ATATCTTTGCAACCTGTATCTTTACGTAAACTTTTGATATTTAAAACCATAAATTCTCTTAGGTCTCATGGCTTAAGTTTGAAATATCAGAGAAGAATAAAGAGAATGAGAAGATCTAAGGATAGAAGAATAAGTTAAATAAACAGTGAATAAAGAATTACAAAGAGAAAGAAGAGAGAATAAGAAAGAGATGAACTAAGGGTAGAAAAATAAGTTAAATAAACTGTAAATAAAGAATTATAAAGAGAAAGAAGAGAATGAGAAAGAGATGAACTAAGGATAGAAGAATAAGTTAAATAAACTGTAAATAAAGAATTATAAAGAGAAAGAAGAGAATGAGAAAGATATGAACTAAGGATAGAAGAATAAGTTAAATAAACTGTAAATAAAGAATTACAAAGAGAAAGAAGAAAATAAGAAAGAGATGAACTAAGGATAGAAGAATAAGTTAAATAAATTGTAAATAAAGAATTACAAAGAGAAAGAAGAGAATGAGAAAGAGATGAACTAAGGATAGAAGAATATGATAAATAAACTGTAAATAAAGAATTACAAAGAGAAAGAAGAAAAAATAAGAAAGAGATGAAATAACGATAGAAGAATAAGTTAAATAAACTGTAAATAAAGAATTATAAAGAGAAAGAAGAGAGAATAAGAAAGAGATGAACTAAGAATAGAAGAATAAGTAAAATTAACTGTGAATTAAGAATTACAAAGAGAAAGAAGAGAATATGAAAGAGAAGAACTAAGGATAGAAGAATAATTTAAATAAACTGTAAATAAAGAATTGCAAAGAGAAAGAAGAGAGAATAAGAAAGAGATGAACTAAGGATAGAAGAATAAGATAAATAAACAATGAAGAAGGGGTTTAGGAAACAAGGGATGTTTTGGTTCTGATTTAAATCTGCTTGAATAATTTGTCACCATATCCAGATACAATCATAACAGATACTAACTCAGTCATTAATAATAATACCAGATAAATAGATAGATAGATAGATACAGCTTTCCCATCAATTCTAGAGAAATAGATAAATAGATAGATACAGCTTTCCCATCAATTCTAGAGAAATAGATAAATAGATAGATACAGTTTTCACATCAATTTTAGAGGAATAGATAAATAGAAAGATACAGCTTTCCCATCAATTCTAGAGGAATAGATAAATAGAAAGATACAGCTTTCCCATAAATTCTAGAGAAATAGATAAATAGATAGATACAGTTTTCCCATAAATTCTAGAGAAATAGATAAATAGATAGATACAGCTGTCCCATAAATTCTAGATAAATAGATAAATAGATAGATACAGCTTTCCCATCAATTCTAGAGAAATAGATAAATAGATAGATACAGATTTCCCATCAATTCTAGAGGAATAGATAAATAGAAAGATACAGCTTTCCCATAAATTCTAGAGGAATAGATAAATAGATAGATACAGCTTTCCCATAAATTCTAGAGAAATAGATAAAATAGATAGATACAGCTTTCCCATAAATTCTAGAGAAATAGATAAAATAGATAGATACAGCTTTCCCATAAATTCTAGAGAAATTAATAAAATAGATAGATACAGCTTTCCCTTCAATTCTAGAGAAATTAATAAAATAGATAGATACAGCTTTCCCTTCGATTCTAGAGAAATTAATAAAATCGATAGATACAGTTTTCTCTTTAATTCTAGGGAAATTAAAAATTATACATAAATAGATCAGATATATATATACATTATACATAAATAGATCAGATATATATACATTATACATAAATAGATCAGATATATATACATTATACATAAATAGATCAGATATATATACATTATACATAAATAGATCGGATCGTAAACGAATATTATAAGAACGGGCTGGTGAAAGAAAGAAGGAAAGGATTGATGCACACATTGTACAGTTATTTATAAAGTTATTATGTGAGCCCTTCATCCATGCTTTCCTGCACTTTTTAATAGCTCTGGATACAAACTGCTTGTTTAAATGTTTAATTTTGCAAGGAGCAGTTGGCAAAATCCTGTAATATTTGAGTGAGAGAACGTAAATACTTTTGTTCAGAGTGACTGTAGGATTAAGGATGGATAGATGGATAGATGGATGGCCAGCAGCCTTGATTAATGGATTAATGGAAAACTAAAAGGTTCCATTACAACGAATTAAGAAGAAGAAGTTAGAAGAACAAGATAAATAATTAGTTAGAAAGATAGAAAGAAAGATAGATAGAAAGATAGATAGATAGAAAGATAGATAGATAGATAGATAGATAGATAGATAGATAGATAGATAGATAGATAGATAGATAGAAAGATAGATAGATAGATAGATAGATAGATAGAAAGATAATTAGCAAGAAAAACGGGGACACTTCATTCTGCAGAGAGACACACAATGTTAAACAATAAATACAAATTGTGAATCGTTTATGGCAATCTCCTTTAAAGGGACTGTCATTATAATTTTAAGTGACCCTCCATTTGTAAAAAAGAGCAAGACCGATTTACAACAGTACCGTTAAAACCTTCATCTGATCCATAATGTGGAGAATATTAATCGTATTTCCACCTTGAAAAGTGTTTAATTTTGATAATTTACCCATTGTTTCTGCAGTAGAAATTTGCAAGAAGAGAAACATGAGGCCGGATTTAAAGAATTTGAGCTGCGGCTTAAATTTAAGCCGCGGCTCAAATATGGCTGGTTCCACTTAAAATTGTATTCAATTTTTCAAGATTTAAGCCGGAGCTCAATTAAAACCAGTTTTTGGGGGATTTGATACGTGGCTTAAATTCATTAAATTCGGACGATGGTTATCTAATTCATACCTGGTAAAAGACAAAGCTTTAAAGGGTAATGTTGTGAATCATTCCACTCTATGTATTTATCTGGAAGGTCACTTGAAATTATGCGTTTAGTCCCTTTAAGATTTCACCTATTTGATATCTAATAAACAAATGATTATTCTAATGAATTTGTTCCCACGCCTGCTAGCGGAGTAGTAGATAGGTAGATAGATAAGAAATATGTGGATAAATAAAAGATATGTCTGCATGATTTGAGTAGATAGATAGATAGATAGTTAGATAGATAGATAGATAGATATGCAAATAGAAAGATATATAATGGCTAGAAAGAGAGTGAGTGCGGGATATCAAGTTGTAATTTCAATTCTAAGGAATCCAATCGGAGCTTTGATCAGGGATTCAGATATCATGTGTCCCAGTCCATCATGTCACCTTCAGTGAACACTGATCAATAATCGTCTCTGATCAATTTCAAGAAATTTCTGATCAATTCTTGCGTCTTGGTTTTAGTTTCATCAACTTTAAGTGGAATTTATGGTTAATTAAATTCGAATCTTGTTTCTCTAAAACTTTTTGCAAAATAACATAGATTAGTTGATTTTTTAAAATTTAGTTAAAAAAATGTTCAGAGTCGAATATCAGTTAAATCTTTTGATTCAGTTTCTAAGAAGTTCTAATTTTGTCTTGAGAAATTGTTTCTACAGATAAACACATTAAACCAAACAGAACCAAAGATAAACGGTAAAGATGAGAGAAACAGATTAGGGATAGATAGATAGATAAATTAGAGATAGATAGATAAATTATAAGATGGATAGATAGATAGATGACGGTTGGATATTGATGGAAGAAGTTGGTTTGTCACCAAAGCATAAAAAGGTCTGTGACCTAAGGATAATTGTATACCCTGAGTACTATATTCTGTATCCTGAGATTGTCTCCAAGTTCTGACCAGTACACTACAGGAGGTAAGCTTTACAAAACTAACCAACAATATAAAATGGGGGGAGGGGGGGAGGAGGGGGTATTCTATAAAATCAGTATTATGATCTTAATCCCGTGATTATCTTACTATCATTTGTCGGTGAGAATTGTAGAAAGAGATGAAAAACATTCATAAATTCAACCCCCCCCCCCTTTACTTAAATTAGCCTTATTTATAGATAAACCTTAAACAGATGTTTTTCTTAAAATTATAAAATTTATCTAAAAAAATACCTTCTGACCCCCTCCCCCCCCTGGTTCAATATTATATTGATGACCATAGAAGCCAAATTCTTGCTTTCTTTCAACATAAATTCTTGGTAATTTTCCCAACAATACCGCGCCAAGCCGTTTTCCCGCCATATTCAAGCTTTCTCAGGACATTTTAGATATATTAGTTAAATATCGAGCTATTCAGCATTTTTCTCTCGATTTATATTTCTTATTTTCAGTGTTTCTCTTCTTGTTCTTTTTTGTTCTTTTTCTTGTTCATTCTTCTTGTTCATTCTTCTCTTCTTATTTCTCTTTTTCCTTCTCTTGTAATAGAGTAGCTTTTTTGTTCCTCCTAATGTCATTGTTCATCCTCTTGTTTCTCCACTTGAGCATGATCCTGTTCCTCCTCTTGTTCATTTTCTTGTTCATTCTCTTGTTCCTCCTCTTGTTCCTCGTCTTGTTCCTCCTCTTGTTCCTCGTCTTGTTCCTCCTCTTTTCTCGTCTTTTCAAAAATTGGGTTTTTTTAAATTATCAATTTAAAAAAAACACAAGATTTTGAATTTGGAAAAAAACCAAAAGAACACCCTGTAATTTAGTTTTGAATCTATAAAATTGTCAATTTCCTAGCTAGAAAAGATATAAAAATATTTTTGGAATCTTATTTTAAAGATCTAAAAATTTAATTGAATATCATTTTTTCAGGAGTACAATCAAGTTTTGTTTTGAAAGATCCTTCTAAAAAACTTCACTAATAGTTAATGGTCTCGTCACTAATGGGTTAAAAAGAAGATTTTAGAGACAGAATATCATTCAGGAAATTTCCGAAAAACGTTCTGAAAGTAACTTATTCCTCTTACTTTTTTAATAATCAATCTATTACAACATTTTTGTTAACTTAGACACATCTTCTATATCATAATAGCTTATATATACCAAAGACTAACAAAAATAGCTATGAAACAAACATTCACAAACTCCATGGAATAAAACTAATGTTTTACATAATAGTATATTAATACAATAAAATCACATTATAATCAAATAAGTGTCAAGCATATTTCAAATTGCAGAAGGCTACCTTAGAACCATTAGTTTCACCAATAACCTGAAGTCTTCTATGTGAACATCTTCCGGGATCTGAACTTCAGACCTCAAAACCTTTGTCAAATAACTGGACATACATCCTGAGAGTCAGTACAACGACCCATTACTGGACATACTCCGGTATATCTGAGCATAAGGCATTCTTTCACAAGGGTTCCAGTAGCATTCCAGAGTTTATACAACTGTTAAGCATATTTTACACAATTAATACAATAAAATTAAATTATAGGAGCTATCGTGTCAATCAGTGTGCAGATTTTCTATAATATTTGAAATTGTCGCGGACTCTGGTAACTACAGTTTTCCATCTCTCTTCTGGAACAATCTCTCCTACGTCTGCGATAAATTGTAGTACATGGAGCTTTCCAATCCTTGTCAACTCTTCGTTTTCTTGGAACATTTTAGAGAAGTATTGGTCAATCGTTTTCTTCTGAGCATCAGATAGCGCAAAGCCTTAAAAAATAATAATTATTACCAACCAGTGCTTAGGATCCGGATTCGGAATGGAATGGTTAGGTAGTTTAAGAAAAAGATTTTTTTGTTAAAACAATGTACCTGTTCCCTTTTTAACAGCTTTCTTCATCGACCATCTTTGAACTTCCTTCCTATCTATCTTCCTGTCCTTATCGGGTACCTCAGGAGGATCCGGGATCGCAGGGTCAACTTCTAAGTATGTAAAATTCATTTTTATATTAAATTAATGAAATTTCTTGGATGGAAAATTTCGTTCAAAGTCTCGACAATTTTAGTTTTGGACATGCATATTTCCTATAAGTGGATTCTTCAGGCATTGGTTACTTTCTTGCATTATTTTTTATGAGATTAAAAAGATTTCAGAAATTTGATTAAAAAAATTTAAGAATATAATTCATACTTGATTAGGCAAAGCTTTTAAGGGTCACTTAAATTATTTAATAAGATAAAAAATATTGCCAAGTTTCACACTCTCTAATTTCAATTTTATTAATTTTGGTCCCTTAATTTAAACTTTTTGTAACACTGAAGTAACCAATTGAGTGTAGTATAATCGTTATCATACTCTTATGTTCATATTTTTTATATGTATGGAAAAATCTTCAGTTGTTTAATTCTAGAATATCAATTTTTGACAATTTGCCTAAGAAGTTACATTTTGCGTAAAGTTTGCGGTTGCGCAAAAAAAAATTGCGCAAAACTAAAATTTTGTTTTAAGTGCAACTTTCGCAAAAAATATTTCCGGTTTTGCGCAAATAGCGCAAAACTCATTGGGTTTCATGCGCAAAAATAGCGCATAAGTTCACACAAAAAAGAATTTGCCCGAAAATAGCGCAAATGTTGCGCAAAAGATTTAGCCATTTCGTGGAAACCCTAATTTATGACACGAATGAAAACTACTTCACCTGTGCAAGATGACAAGAAAGGGAGATCAGGGATTGCAGGATTCTCTATTTGATCAAGGACTTCATGGAAACCATGATTCTCAACAGGAACCTCAACTTCTAAGTATGTACAATAATTATTCATTTTAGTATTAAAATTAATGAAATTGAGAAAAAGAAAGAATTGTTTTCCATCTTTTTTGGAGGAAAAGATAGTTCTCATTTATCACTAATGAAAACTACTTCACCTATGTTTGATGCCAAGAAATGATCGAGTTCATCAGGGTAAAGGGAAATTGAATCCTGACCATCCTCATATAAACCTAAAAGATGAAATGTATACTTTTAACACCCAGTAACCTACCATATGCATTAAAAAAATTAACCACAGTAATGTAAGGGAAACATAGCCCAAAATGTAATTTCAAACCTAGCTTAGGGCAGTTTAAAAATTTTACTCTGGAATAGGATTCCGACTTCTAAACACAAGTTAAGAATTTAAATTCTTCAGTGTAAAAAGACCTGAAATTCTACAGTGTAAAAAGACCTGAAATTCTACAGTGTAAGAAGACCTGAAATTCTACAGTGTAAAAAGACCTGAAATTCCACAGTGTAAAAAGATCTGAAATTAGTGTAAAAAGACCTGAAATTCTACAGTGTAAAAAGACCTGAAATTCACAGTTTGAAAAGACCTGAAATTCTACAGTGTAAAAAGACCTGAAATTCTACAGTGTAAAAAGACCTGAAATTCCACAGTGTAAAAAGATCTGAAATTAGTGTAAAAAGACCTGAAATTCTACAGTGTAAAAAGACCTGAAATTCTACAGTTTGAAAAGACCTGAAATTCTACAGTGTAAAAAGACCTGAAATTCTACAGTGTAAAAAGACCTGAAATTCTACAGTGTAAAAAGACCCGAAATTCTACAGTGTAAAAAGGATGGGCGGATTATTGGCATCTAATAATTTGGTAACTAACAATTTGGTAACTAACAATTTGGTAACTAACAATTTGGTAACTAACAATTTGGTAACTAATATTTTGGTAACTAGACAATTTGGTAACTAGACAATTTGGTTACCAAAATGTTGGTTACCAAAATGGTTACCAAAATGTTGGTTATCAAAATGTTAGTTACCAATAATCCGCCCATCGTAAATAGACCAACTCACAAAATTTAAAAATTAAAATTTTAATATGTTACCATCTTCTCTGAGTATTTCATCCAGTTCTGCTGGAATTTGGATATCTGGAAAGTCCTCCAGATTGTTCCCCCCCTGGGACACCAGCTCAAGGGCGGAGGAAACAATGCCCTGTTCCTGGGCGATAATTGGCTGAGCGTAGAATTTCCTAGAATTATATTATCTTTAAAGGAAGTGTAAAAGAAAAAAGAAACAGGTGGTCAGGGTGATCCCGACTTAAATTGCACTTTTTATCTGATGTGTATATATGGAGAAAATGTTTTAAAACAGCCTTTAAGCAAGAGCGAAGAACCAACATAATTCATGCTGTTTTCTACTCAAACCCTAAATAATCCAATTAACTTTAAAACTAATCTTTCAGATATTACAACTTATAAATGTCGACTTCAATTCAATTCGCATGAATTATGTGGGACATGAGTTCTTCTCTCTTGCATAAAGGGCGTTTTAAAACTTTTTTTTCATATATACACATCAGAAAAAAACAATACAGAATTCAATTCAGGATCACCCTAACCCCCTTCTTATTTTTCTTGAACACTCCCTTTAAGAAGTTTCCTTATATTTATGGTTTCCTAAAACTTCAAACTTGATTCCTTCTTTTTCAAATTACAAAATAATCTATACAATGACTATGTAGTCTAGGCAGAAGAAAATATTCAACAACGAAATCGTCATATTTAAATAGTTATAAGTCTTTACAGTCTCATCCTTTGTGGGTAACCCTGTAGCTAGGAGACGTTTTATCAAAAAGTACATACTTACTCGTGCACTATGGCGGAATGTCCCAAATGATGAGCCATCATTTTTGTGCAGTTCTGGAACTGTGAAAGAGTTCCCAGAGTCGTGGCAAAATGCCTACGGAGCAACCTGAACAAAAAATTAATCATGAAAAATAATATCCTAGTGTCAAACAAAAACGTACTTTTCTAGACTCAACATAAAAAACCCAGAAAAATAAATATGGGCATCAAAAGATATGACTGAAAACACTAATTTCAGAAAAGTTGATTTGGTAAAGAATCAAGAAATTTTATTAAGCACTTTCATTTCTGTAAAAAAATCGAAGATGTGCCATGGGTTCAGATTTATATAATTTTTTAAAAATTTATTAAATAATTTTGATAAGCTAAAGTTAATTAAGAATTTTTGACAACAAAAAATTATTTAATTGACCACTTTTAAAATTGAAACTACAAGCTGGGGCACATTTTACGAGTCTTTTTATACGAATAAGGACAGAAAATCCTTAATCCCTTTTTTTTGGGCCACCCTATAAATTATACAAAAAATAAATTGTAATTAAACCTGGTCTGCATATTCTCTACTCCTCAGTCGTCAGCAAATTTTCTGAGTACTCTGGAGTGACGAATGTATGATCCAGTAGATGAAGTAAAGAAAAACTCATTTTCTTTATCACGCCTCCCTTTGTATAGAAGACTCATCCCCTTAAAAGTTACATATTTTTGGATGTTGGGTCTGTAATCTGCATTAGTAATTTCATGTGACCATCCATGCAAAGATGACAATGCCTGAGTTCCATAAGCAGAATAAAATCTAAATGGCTTCAATGGTTCCTAGCTATGCTAGAGTTCCATAATCAGAATAAAATCTCAATGGCTTCAATGGTTCCCAGCTAGGCTAGAGTTCCATAAGCAGAATAAAATCTAATTTTCAGTAAAATCTTTGGGAATGTTTAGGATATTATTACAAGCAAAATACCTCCCTTCCCCCAGGACAAGAAACCACATCTGTAGAAGTGTAAAACTAAAGACAGCTTTAACCTAAGTAATAATAAAGATGTTACCTTTTGCATCGTTTTGTCCACCAGGACAAAGTTCCAGGCGTTAGTTTTTCCTGAAAATATTCATATTTTTTTTTTGTGTGAAAATTGTTTAAGTTTAAGCTACGGTGGTAGGCGATTTTACCAATACAATGAAGACTACTTTCAAAAGATTTGATTTTGAATTTTAATTTATATCAATCTTTTAAAAAGCATGAACACACAAATAAATGGAAATAAAAAGCTTCTCTTTATTCTATCTATTATGACTCCCCAATAACACAAGTGTTACCAGGTAACCATCCCTCCCTGCAACCCAGAGCCCCCTTTTGGGGTGCGTGGATTACAGAGTAAACATGACATGTGCAATCACTGTTATGCCCGAGTGGCGGTAGCCGAGCCGTGAAGCTCGAACTACCGAAGCCTGTATCTACAGCCCGGTATTAAATACGACTTAAGTTTTTCTTTTTAAATTTCATATGTGCCCGGAGATCCTCTCAAGAGTCTTACCATGAGCGGCTTGTTATGCCGACTAGTCAGGATGTTGCTAAATTTACCAAGTATTTATACACCAAAGTTTTGGAATCGCAGCAGAACTATCTGGATGTGGAATCAAAGGCCAATTATAGAGCCCTTCAAGAATCGATATTGATTTACCTTATCGTTTTCAATAAAAAGAGAGGGACCGAGGTATCATCCATGACTATAGAGGACTATGATTTAATGCTGGAACTGTCTCCAAATGAAGATTTTCCCCTTTTTGGGTCTCTGAATGTAGAGCAAAAGGAGAGAGCCCTGAAGTACAAGTCGATCCTTGTTAAAGGAAAAACTAACGCCTGGAACTTTGTTCTGGTGGACAAAACGATGCAAAAGAGGATGAGTCTTCTATACAAAGGGAGGCGTGATAAAGAAAATGAGTTTTTCTTTACTTCATCTACTGGATCATACATTTGTCACTCCAAAGTACTCAGAAAATTTGCTGACGACTGCGGAGTAGAGAATATGCAGACCAGGTTGCTCCGTAGGCATTTTGCCACGACTCTGGGAACTCTTTCACAGTTCCAGAACTGCACAAAAATGATGGCTCATCATTTGGGACATTCCGCCATAGTGCGCGAGAAATTCTACGCTCAGCCAATTATCGCCCAGGAACAGGGCATTGTTTCCTCCGCCCTTGAGCTGGTGTCCCAGGGGGGGAACAATCTGGAGGACTTTCCAGATATTCAAATTCCAGCAGAACTGGATGAAATACTCAGAGAAGATGGTTTATATGAGGATGATCAGGATTCAATTTCCCTTTACCCTGATGATCTCGATCATTTCTTGGCATCAAACATAGAAGTTGAGGTTCCTGTTGAGAATCATGGTTTCCATGAAGTCCTTGATCAAATAGAATCAAATCATGACTCCTTTGACTTCTCTACAATCTCTTAGTCTCAGAATAATCAGTGCTCTAGTTACAGGATTCACGGTTCAATCTAAAGATTGACCGAATTAGAACTTTATTAAATCATACAAACGTAAAAGAATATAGTACACAATCCAAATTATGATATTAGCATAAAACTTCCAATACAATAGAGATTCACTATGGCGACAAGAATTTAAAAGTCTTGACCTTATATTAATCCTTCAAAAGTTAGAGTCTCTGTAAAACTCAATTTATATCGTCACAATCAAGTTTTTTTAGGAATGAGGGATTCTGACAATGATTTAATCAATAAAACATATTCAAAAGGTTGAAACTCGTCCTTGTGAAGAAACATAAATCAATTCTTTTTATCCAATGTTTATATATATATATAAAAAATATGTACCTCAAAGTGCCTTAGCTACGAAAAATAACACAGGTTTTACTATCCGTAAATATAAATTTTAACTGACGAGAAAATTCATGAAACAATATGGTGTGTATTTAGCGTACACTTATAACTGGTTTAAATGTTCAGAGAGTACGGATCCCAGCTCTCCCCTCCACAGGGGCTTCACAGCGCAATCAAGTCCGTCAGGGGTTAATAGATTAGACGAGACAATTTCGTCGCGTAACACTCCCCCAACGCGGCCAGGAAGCAAGAAGAACATCATCATGCCTCAAAGATTTCTACCAGCTCAATTGGAAGCTCATTCCCTGAAAAAATCACTCTTTGTTTATCACAAGGTTCTGGAATCACTAATCATCTCCGATACTCAGAAGAGCTAGAACAACTCAATACCCTCAACTTCCTCAGGAATCTCGAACCTGAACTCTAGATTATCAGGGAAGGGAATGGAATCCTCCCCCTCAATAATTTCATCATATGTGAGAACTCGGGCAGATTTCTTGTTCCTAGATCTAGCTCGCTCCCTACTCACAACAGACCTGGAGCTGACAACTCCTCTGATCACACCAGAGCATCCAGGATCATTCTTCTCCATGACTACGGATTCAGCAGCATCCCTATCCACAGCAGAAGCATCACCAGGGTTGGGAACAGAAGAAGGTTTCTGTCTAGCCAATCTCAATCTCTTGTTCATGATCCTGTTCCTCCTCTTGTTCCTCCTCTCGTTCCTCCTCTTGTTCCTCCTATTGTTCCTCCTCTTGTTCCTCCTCTTGTTCCTCCTCTTGTTCCTCCTCTTGTTCCTCCTCTTGTTCCTCCTCTTATTCCTTCTCTTGTTCCTCCTCTTGTTCCTCCTCTTGTTCCTTCTCTATTTCCTCCTCTTGTTCCTCCTCTTGTTCCTCCTTTTTGTTCCTTCTCTTGTTCTATGTCAGATTAATGTTTGTATCTGCAGATGATTAAAGAAACCTGAAAAGAATGATAATTTAACTTAATTCCTCTCTGCTCAAAGTATAATTTAATAGTGTATATGTGTCGGGCCCTGGCCAGGGTAGATTAATCTAATTGATTGGAGGCCGCTTACCGTAAAATAATTAGATTATTAGAGATCCAATTTGGAAATAAATTGTGTAGATTTATATAGTATTTTCGTTTAGACATTATCACACCCAAGATCATAATAGATTATCTTTATATACCAGTTCGTGCCTATATACTCCATATATACAGTCTTGGTCTACGTGTATATAGGGGGAACCAGAATACAAGGGGAACCAGAATACCGGGGGAACCAGAATACAGGGGGAGCCAGAATACAGGGGGAACCAGAATACCGGGGGAACCAGAATACAGGGGGAGCCAGAATACAGGGGGAACCAAAATACAGGGGGACCAGAATACAGGGGGAACCAGATTACAAGTGGAACCACAATACAGGGGGAACCAGTATACAGGGGGAACCAGAATACAGGGGGAACCAGTAAACTGGGGGAACCCGAATACAGGGGGAACCAAAATACAGAGGGAACCAGAAAACATTAAAAATTCAAAAAGCAACAAGGGGATTAGTGTCTAAACATCCGGCCATATATCTGTCCGTCTAACCATCTGTGCATCTCTCTGTCTATCTGTCTATCTGTCTATCTGTCTTACTGTTTTTCTGTCTATCTATATTTCTGTCTATCTTTCTATCTGTCTATATATCAGTCCATCTTTTTGTAAATGTGTATATCTATTTCCGAATACTATTTTATTAAATCTTGAGAGAATTTTTATCCCGCATTTTTACTCACAATTTCATGATCTTGGATATAAAAAGTTTCTTATTTGTTCCTAGGCAAATAAGTAACATTTTATTTCAGCAAACCAGGTTTTCCTCTTTGTTTCGCGGATTTTAATGAAACAAATGAAAAAGTAAAAAATCCCAACAAAATCCATATTGTTCAGCATGATAACACAGTTTACATAAATAGATATATTTGTCTGTGTTTATATTTATATATTTAAATTTTTATATTTTTATATCTGTCCATCTATCTGTACTATCTATCCCTGAATCTATTTATCTATCTATATATCAATTTGTCTATATTTCTGTCTGTCTGTATAGTTTGGCTCGTGTCTGAGTGTGCCCATCTGATATTAGAAATATTTTGATATCCGTACTCTAACTGATTAGACAAATAAAGGTACATTTATATAGACACCTCGTTTTGGCTTGTTTTCTTGACAGGAAAACAGGCTAGAGAGGCTGAGAGTCCCAACACAAGCCGGGAGTAATATTTGGTTCATTTTTGGACAAAATTCATGTTTAAAATTACAGGGGGTTCCATTTTTATTGTACGGTTTCTAGTTTTAAAAAAAACAGTTTTTATTTGTCTAGAGTTCTGATTTTGTCACTATTTAGTTGTCCTTGTCACCAAGCTGTGAACTAGCAGAGGGTCATAAACATTCATATTTACACAGAATATAAAGAGAAAGCGAGAACAAATTGTTTAATTTTCATGAATAAATATAAGTATATATTCTTAGTTTTGAAATTACGACCATTTTTTTAAATTACGAAGAAAATATCTGAAAATTTGTTAGATATCCCTAACATTCTAAACATAAATTCGATTACAATATTTTAAATTTCGAGTTGTTTTAAATAATTTTTTCCTGAAAGCTGCAACATATAAAAGTAAGATTAGTAAAGATTAATACGGCTTATTTTTCGCCGTAAGCCATATACCCCATTTTATTTTTCGCGAACACTCCCTTTCGTTATAGTTTGATACAATTTCCATTTATGAATGAATATTGCATGATTGATTTCTAAGACTGCCTTTTTTAGTGTTCAGAAATGTGAAATTCAGAAAAGTTTGGATTTCTTGGCGAGGTTTTCAATATTAATTTAAGAAAAAGGAAACATTGACTGCCAGTTTTGCGTGCATGAAACTGCGAAATTTAGATCAGTTTGGATATGTTGACTAGGTTTCCAATATTAAATTAAGAAAAAGGAAATATTGACTGCCAGTTTTGCGTGCATGGAATTGCGAAATTTAGATAAGTTTGGATATGTTGACTAGGTTTTTAATATTACTAAAAGTAAAAGGAACTTGACTGCCAGTTTTGCGTGCAGAGTTAGGAGAATCTCATAGAAGAATTAGAAGGTAAGAAGACCTGTATTTGAAGGTATATCCTCGCTTTGCAACTAAATACCCACATCTTGTTTCTTGTATGGTATTAGTATTAGTATAATTAGCTTATCACAGAAGAAATAAAAATTTCTGTTTTACCATGTTTACAGCATTTCGTTGATATTCCTGGGTACGCCTTCTTCATCGAAATTCAATAAGCTTCGTAACATCAGAATTTCGTTAATTCACACCCTCATGCAAAATATGTATTAAAATAAAAAATATTCTTCAAAGATGCAAAAAACATTTTTGCTCCATACTCACTCACTTAAATTCTAAGATTATAATCCTCCTTTTTTTAATGCTGAGCGCAAAATTTAAAACTTAATTAATTAATATAATTAAATCCCCCCCCCCTGATAATGGAGGAATAGAAAAATCTAACTTGAAGAAAGGTAAGATGAGAAACCGTCTATTAAGATTTATTAATTTCTCATCGTCACCTGCCTCTACCTCTATACACTCTACACTCTACAGGCCATGGGTGGGCTTCAGAACGCTCCAGGGAGGATAGGGAGGATGGAGGTTGGGAGGGGGAGGGGATTGGTTGGAAGATTGGGGTTTATTGGGGGTTGGGGTGGGGGGTTGGAGGGATTACATTTTTTTAATGTAAGAGATTGTTGATTAAATCAATTATTGTTATTTCAATAATAATGATCATTGATTAGGGTCAGGAGGATGTTTTTATTAGTACAACAAGAGAAGGAAAGGGTATAAATTGTGGGGCGGGGGCGTAAAAAAGAGTAAAAAAAGAAACCAAAGAGGGTTATAGGAAATAAGCGAGTTTTGGATTAACTAAACTTTAAGATTTTGACATATAAATAATTTTTATATAAATGTGTTTTGGCCAAAATATTTTATAGATTAACTCTCAACTTAAAATGGCCGGTCAGCCTTTAATTAAAAAGTGACAAATCAATGCATAATTGTAACCAGTAAATAAATCTTCGGTTTTTTTATCTGGAATTGGAAAACTCATGATCGCGGATTTCTTTAGTTCTAGACAGAGAAGCGAGAAAATGGCCGAAAGTTGTCAATTCCAGTAACAATCCCAGTCATCGTAAATCTATCCATATTTAAAGAGTATCATTGCTAATCGTCAAGGGCACTAATGAAAGAAAAAAATCTCCGTTGACAATTCCTTTAAAGCTTGCAGATTGAGAAAATAATATTGACACTTAACGATAGTAAATTCTGTTAAACATGATAATATCAGATATTTTAACTAGGATAACATCCCGTTCTTGTTTAAACTCAAGGGACGTTAGAACAGAGTATTTAAACATAATTGAAATTAAAATTCCAAACTTTTGGTTCAACAGTTTGGTTTCGGTATCATTACAGGGGTAGATATTCTTCAAAATATTGAAACCGAAAAAAACTAGGTTTTGTTAATTTCATGTGTGTTTCTCTATCTTTTGAAATTTAGATAATCTTTGAGGGAGGAATGTTTGACTGGGAGGGGAGGAAGGGGGGGTTGAGGGAGAAGAGGGGGGAGTGATGAGTTAATTAATGTATCAGATTAGACTGTATCAATCATAATTTCAGGGTTTAAACCTGCGTTACAGGCGGTTTATAACAGTTTTAGGGAAATTCTGTCAGTTTTCTTTAGTATTAAAGAGTAGACTCTCATCCTCATCCTCATCCTCATCCTCATCCTCATCCATATCCTCATCCTCATCCTCATCCTCATCCTCATCCTCATCCTCATCCTCATC